TCTTCTTCTTCTTCTTCTTCTTTTTTGTTTTTTTTTTTTTTTTTTTTAACGAACCATGCTCCAATCTATTCGTTTTTTTTTTTTTTTTTTTTTCCCGTGGGGAGCAGGACGTGCTGGGAACTGGGGCCAGCATCCCATATGAAGAAGACATGAAAACATCTTGAACAAGTTGAGATACCGGGGCGATTACTCGGCTTGGCTTGAGAATATCCTGCATGATCATTATCAGGCTTGTTTGCTTTTTTTTTTTTTTTTTTTTTTGGGTGATGTTTTTCTAAATTTACCAACCAACTGAGAAAAAAGAAAAAGAAAAAATCATAATTGAGCCAATTTGAATTCCCGAAGTTTGTTAAGCACTCGAAGTAGGCTATAGTTGGTCTACCGGCTATAAACATGACGTTGAGCTACCGGTAATTGGTCGCTACCACTTAGACTAAACGAAAAGGCTATAGTACTTACATCTGGGACTATGAGGGCCCAGAGGAACTGAGGCCGGCGCCTACCTACTGGCACTCTCCGAACGGCCCAGAGAGGCCCTACCCCACCGAGTGCACTGGTTGGAAAAGCAGCCCTCTCTAGCATCCTCCGTACTGACCCAGGGCCCACTTCCTTCTTTCCTTTTTGTCTTGTACTTTTTGTTTTATATATTTTTAACTAAGCTATACTCTTCTCTCAATTTTAGCTTTGGCTACCTACCTAACACTACTCCTAAGCCTAAACAGGGGACCCCTGCAAGCAAAGCTTCCTCTGTCAATTAAGGGGATGCATGTTGGCCCCCTCACTAATCGGCAATGCTCAGGGAGAAGGTTGGGGCCGCCGGTGGGTGGTGCGGGCGAATGCGAAGACCGAGCATTTTGTCAGTAGATGCGCCTCCCGTCTACTTCCCCCGCCCTCATTGATTAATAGTAGTGTCTATGGCCAGCACTCTCCCACAAACGCAACCCCCCCCCCACACACACCCGTGATGGCCGAACACCCTACCAATACCGTACCGGGGGAGCAACCCAACTATCTCAGTTGGTTGGCACCAAGAGTGCCGCAGGTGGTCAGGGGAGCAAGCCATGAATACTATGCGTTTACTGTGATGAGTAAAGCCTCGCGCCAAGTATTCATATTTGCTATTGTCATCTCTCTCTCTCTCTCTCTCTCTCTCTCTCTCTCTCTCTCTCTCTCTCTCTCTCTCTCTCTCTCTCTCTCTCTCTCTC